TAAAGAATACTATTATAAATACATAAGTAATTTGTTAAATAAACAATTTATATATTTTAAGTAAGCAATTAGCAATAAGTAATATTATTAAATAAACAAATACTGTTTCTTAAATCAACAGATGCTATTTTTGAAATAAACAAGTACTATTTTTAAGTAAATAAATATAATTTGTTAAAACTAAACGAATACGATTCTTTGAACAAACAAATAAGTTTAAAAAAAATAATTATTACAATTTTTATGCATTATAAGCATTGTCTATTTTTCAATTATTATTTTATAGATCGACGTGACTTCAGAGTTAATCAGAAGCTATTGAAGATTGTAGAAAAATGAAGCAAGTATATTTGTGTTTTTAAATTGTTTATTTTTATTTTTTAATTTGAATAAAATTATATTTGATCGTTAAATGAATAAATAAAATACATTTTAATACTATCCACAGGATCTTTAGTTTGACTTTGGAGAACATATCCACCATCACAAGGAGCAATCCTCCTTCACTAACAACAAGGCCCACCCTCAACGAGGTTCTCTGCCAACGTGGTCCACTATCGATTGCACTTAGTACTCACCGATGGGTGAGTCACTGAATCCAACGTCCAACGTTTTATTATTTACGAGAGAATGTATACTCGTGTAAAGGAAATGTTAGTCACTTTTTAATTGTTATGTCTTGTATATTTGTTGGAGTAGGCTAGGCCCTCTTGATTCTATTTTGCAATTACTTTCTAGTGTGAAAGTTTGATTACCCTCGAATCTCACAAATTAGTTTAACTTTTATTGTGAATGATGTAGCATAATTGAACATACGTTAACATAACTTTATATATATAATATTTCTATGTATGTATTATATAAGAGTGTAATACATGTATTTTTTTAAGTAATTTATTTATATAAAAATAAAGTTACGTTCTTGCTCATAATAAATATGATACATCAATAATAATATAATGTAATAATATTATATTGGAAAGTATATATAAACATTTTGCTACCATCGGATCCAAACTTTGAAGTAATACTTGCATATGTATTTCTCGAATCTTAGAACGTTTACTTCTCAAACTGAAACGACCGAGGGTTTTATCATTAAATGCGCATGAGTAAAACAAAATAAGTACTATGACAAAACGAATATTTATAACGAATTTATATTCAAATTTATATTATTTTATACTTAAATAATTTTAAACAAATTAATTTCATTAATATGCAATTTAATTTCAACTACTTTTTAAATAATTTCCTTTACTTAGGATTTTGAACGAGCCAAAAAGAGGCGAGAGTCACTTTGGTCGTACTCATTTTTATTTTCATCCGAAGTTACACTTATTAACTAAGGTGAGGTTTTATTAACGATGATCTCGTAATGCGGCTAAACTTATTTATATATCAGAAACTCCAAGATTTCTATTTTCTATGAATTGCTCCTAGGTCGTCGCATAGTCAGCTGGGAACCCGTTTTTTGTGGACAAAATTATTTTAACATTATTTCAGGGTTAAAATTAGAACATCAGCGATGCGAAAAATATTGATTTCCATTTAATTAATAATTTAATTAACATTAAACTGAGACTCGAAGTAATGCCGGCATCTGTTTCTTAAAATTCGTATAACTTTAAAGGTTGCAGATAGCAGTTTAAATTGTTATAAATCTTGAAGTTTTTGTATATGGTGTAAATAATGCTTAGGACGTAATTAAATAATGAAAATACGCTTATTAATATATATATATAAAACATTAATTCGAACCTGTTATTTCATGTTCTGCAATCAGCTGTTGGAATAACTCGTTTCATTTTGAATTTCTGAATTTTGTCTGTAAAGTAATGTATAATTGCTCAAAATGGCTAATATTTTGCATTGCGAACCTTCGATGGTGTATACAATGATGTATACAAACATTTTCTCGAAATGTGATCCATTGTAATAATAGAAAAGGTTTTCCGCAAATACCTCGTAAACTGTGTACGAGCGACGGTAAAATTCGAACGAAAAAGTTGTTTCGAATCATGTGCCTGATAACATGTTTCAGATTCATCAAAGTTGGTGAGGTGTGACCGCTTCTATATAATTTCCAAATCGATTTTATAGCTATTAATTGACAAGTTGTAAATGATTGGAGCAATTGCCAACCGGTTGTATCAGCTACCAATCGGTTTCTGTAGATTCCAATTAGTTCTAGATCTAATCCTCTGCGATCGTCTGCGATTTTCCTGCTTAGGGTTGATTCGCCAAAAATAAATTAGCAGATTCACAGCGAGCATTAGCTTCGTTGCTCATTTCTATTGTAAAAATATTATTGTTATTATACGGAATGTACCTTCTTTATGAATTATCGAAGTAATTTTACCAAATTTGCAGGTTTTTTGAATATTATGCTACTACTAGACTGCTGATCCTTAGGCAAAACACTTTTCCAACACGATTGTAAGAAACAGAAATGGAATAAGAATAAATTGTTTCTTTCAACCATTTTGATTAATTGAAAATGGCGTATCAGTATTATTGTATCTGCGCAATTTTATATTTCAATTATTCATTTTCGCGACAAATGTATAAGTTACGCAGCCTAGCGTATTATTTTAGAACCGAAAGTTTAGGTAGCAGAGTACATAATTCGACTATTTTTATGTAAATTACAAAATCGAGAACTTCGCACATGTACGACGATGTTATCGATCGCGTTAAAAACTGCGAAAAATTCGCGAAAAATTTTCTCCTAGTAACTAGGGATATAGGAGAAACGAAACCAGTAGTAGAAATTTCTTCGAATAAACGAATTCCGGCGTTTAACAAAATCGTTTTCAAATCCGGCATTTTGAAATCGTGTTGTACGAACATTGTCCTCTTGTAACATGAACAATATTGCTTATATACAAATTAAATGTACGAATGAAACATTTTGTTCCATATGAAATCAATGGAAGGAATAATTAACAAATTCTTTACGTAGTTATAATTAGTTAAAGAACGTCGAAACAACGCTTTCGTAGTGTCGTTGGTCAGCCACCGGCCGAATTGTCCAAAGTGACATTCTAACGTTTTTCGTTCCAGTGTAATCACTTATTCGTTTTTACGTACAGTTACAGACAAAAGTTAGGGAACATGTTACACAGATGCATAATGTTGGGTGTAGTATTCTGTCAACGAAAAGACTGAATTTAATTTTTTATAATTTCTTAATTTTTAATTCTTTTTATATTTCATATGCACTGAATAAAACATTATCGCAATATAAACAATGTGTTGTATCGCATGTAGCGCATCTTTACGCAAATTCTCACATTCCTGCGTGATTTTACAAAAATTAGAATCAGAAAAGCTCCGCTTGGTCAACTGAAAGATTACTCATTGTTAAGAGAATATAAAAATGCTATTAGACCTTGTTGGTTTATGCATTTTCTAGCATTTTGAAAATTTGCATATTCCACAAATACGTGAACAATACATCCTTAACTTAACGTAGATTTATAAATAATAATATTTATAAATAAATAACGTATATTTGAGCCGTTTATTTTGAAAGTGGCATAAGTCACTTTGTTTTTAAGTCGATATATTTAAGGGCTGTCTCTTATACACATCTAAATGTGTATAAGAGACAGGTATATACATATATGTATATACCTGTCTCTTATACACATCTAAATGTGTATAAGAGACAGGTATATACATATATGTATATACCTGTCTCTTATACACATCTAAATGTGTATAAGAGACAGGTATATACATATATGTATATACCTGTCTCTTATACACATCTAAATGTGTATAAGAGACAGGTATATACATATATGTATATACCTGTCTCTTATACACATCTAAATGTGTATAAGAGACAGGTATATACATATATGTATATACCTGTCTCTTATACACATCTAAATGTGTATAAGAGACAGGTATATACATATATGTATATACCTGTCTCTTATACACATCTAAATGTGTATAAGAGACAGGTATATACATATATGTATATACCTGTCTCTTATACACATCTAAATGTGTATAAGAGACAGGTATATACATATATGTATATACCTGTCTCTTATACACATCTAAATGTGTATAAGAGACAGGTATATACATATATGTATATACCTGTCTCTTATACACATCTAAATGTGTATAAGAGACAGGTATATACATATATGTATATACCTGTCTCTTATACACATCTAAATGTGTATAAGAGACAGGTATATACATATATGTATATACCTGTCTCTTATACACATCTAAATGTGTATAAGAGACAGGTATATACATATATGTATATACCTGTCTCTTATACACATCTAAATGTGTATAAGAGACAGGTATATACATATATGTATATACCTGTCTCTTATACACATCTAAATGTGTATAAGAGACAGGTATATACATATATGTATATACCTGTCTCTTATACACATCTAAATGTGTATAAGAGACAGGTATATACATATATGTATATACCTGTCTCTTATACACATCTAAATGTGTATAAGAGACAGGTATATACATATATGTATATACCTGTCTCTTATACACATCTAAATGTGTATAAGAGACAGGTATATACATATATGTATATACCTGTCTCTTATACACATCTAAATGTGTATAAGAGACAGGTATATACATATATGTATATACCTGTCTCTTATACACATCTAAATGTGTATAAGAGACAGCCCTTAAATATATCGACTTAAAAACAAAGTGACTTATGCCACTTTCAAAATAAACGGCTCATTTATCAAAGTATCAAATTTTACTCAAATGTTAATTGTACGTAAAGTAAACTTAACTTTGACCGATAAGCGTATTTCTGTTTTACACCTTCGTTTCATTTCACCGTTCGCTACCTTCTCATTTCTCCAGTTCTTCCGGTTTTCTCTCCCCCTCTTTTCCCCACTTTTCTTTTCTCATTCACTATTCTACACTTTCTCACTTTTCCACGTGAACTCACTAATCGCGCACCAACCGCGAGACCAAATATCAAAAGACAGCGTCCTGTGAAAACATTGCTCGAAATATCTGTGGCGCGTTATACGGGAGTCCGCGGTACAAAAAAAAAAAGAAACGAATTTCGCGGTGGTGAGCCCGTAAACTCGAAAACGCCAGTCCGCCAGCCGATCTTCGGATCGCCATGGAACATGGACGTAGGAGCGAGGATCGGTTCTCGGCTCGCGTTTATCGCGGCGCGGCGTCTCGCGAGCTGCGCTCGAGAGAGAAATCGTTGGTTCGTCGACGAGAAAAAGAGGGTTAAGGGCCAGAAGAAAAAGGAAACCGTTCCCGCCGGTTGAAAATGAGCGGGGAATCGAAAGGCAGAAGGGGGTGAGAAGCAGGTGTGGTGGGGATCGTTGGTCGATTCGCAGCTTTCGTTGCTTCGAGCCACGATCCATGGATCAGTCTTGGTGCAACCGTCCCCTCGAACCGGTTGCTACCGTTTTCGAACGTGTGTCACGGCCGATCGATTTAAATGCTTCCGAATTCCGTGTCCATGGTTTTCGCCGTAGCGATTGAATCGTGACGTACGTTTTCTGCGCGCAGTTCGATGGTCATCGATCGATCGGAGTCGCCGAAAATGCTGCCCGGAACGTGATCCGTAGCGTGATACGCGTGTTCGTCGATGCGGACGATGAATTTTAAGAGAATTTCGCGCGATCCCGTGACGGGAAGTTCGACGACGTAGAAGACGGGTAGCATCGATCGGATTTTGGTGTTCTGCCCGAAGGATTCTTCGTTAACCGCGCGCGAAGTGCACGGAATAAGGCTAGGCGCTCGGTGACTTCGATGCTCGCGCAGGCGGTATCCCGACTCGTCGTCTGTGCTTCTGTGTGGTGAACGCACTCGGCGTGTTGCGTTATTTGTCTGCGATCGTTGTGCAAGATAAAAGAAGTATTTTTTGGTCGGAGAATCCGGCTGGAGTGAAACAGTGAGTTTGACAGAAACCGATCTGAATGTTCATTCGATCATCGCGAGTGGCGGCAGCAAGGAAGTTAACAATCATTCGGAGAGATTAACACAAACACGATATTTCGGAGAATATTTATGAAATGGTTTTTATAATAAAAGATGAAATAATTGTATAGTTTCTCTCGCAGGTACATTTTTCGATACCGGTTTGGCGAGTTGACTATTTTCATCGCGGCAGTTAGCTTTCGTTTTCTAACAACAAAATTGATCGCAAGCGTTCGTTGACAGAGAATAGATCGCGATCCCAAAGTGAAATCAGGAAATATTGCACGATTAATGAAATGCGTTGACGCGTCGGCACGCGAGAGCAATTTTCTCTTTGTATTTTGAAACTGTTACAAATTTTTATATTTTTCCGATGGTATAATTGCACAGATTTCTGTAGATCATTGTTAGCGTGACCGTAGTGAATTACTATACTTTGTTTGCGGTTGACAGAATACAGAGACGCGAACGCCGCGTGAAACATGTTGTACCGTGATGTCAATGCCAGCGTAAGAAAGCTGCGACGGTTATTATTCGAGATCGTTTGTTCGATGCACTGTTACATCGCTTTCTATTAGATAAAACAAGCGCGCGTATTACGTCAACATTTTTTCTATTCGATTACATGGCTACGTAAATAGCAGATGAACTTGAATTATGCGATGCTGTTCGTTCGAATATTCTTGTAATATTCTATGCGCGCATTATACAATTATTCACCTTTTATCTCTGGAATTCGTTCGAAAATTTCGGTCGTACAATTTTCACGAATTTTCGGGAAACGTTAATTAAGTTTGTAGTTTATTGTCGAAGGAACTCGATGAGATTCGTTTATGAAACAATGATCGTTTGAAGAGGCACGGATCTAAAGTGAAAAGAGAGCGAAGGTGAGTCGTGTAGTTTGTGACATTGATGTTGAATTCTTAGCGAGAAATAGTTGTCGTGTTAAATTGATTTTTTTCTGTGCGATCGAAGTGAGTTTTCGTTATTCTTTTCGCCGGCTCTGTGTTTTTTTTGGAAATTCGATTGACACAGTGTGTTCGGTGAGTGGTGTAATTTACACTTGCGCGTGGATTATAAACATTGGGAATTTACTTTCGGAAGACATGTATGGCTGGTGAGTACACTCGCTACAACAATGATCATTTATTTCACGACTAAATGTATGCGAAACAAATGCAATAAAATATTCGTAGATTTATAAATTGTACTTCGGATACAGCGAAGAGAGTAAAACGAGATTCACAAAATTGTAAGTTTTTATCTGCAGAATATTGAGTTTAGAATTTGTGTTTTATAGGTGTTCTGTTTAGAATTTAGTTCGGTTTCAATAAGTTGAATAGGGATTTGTTTATTGGATATGAAATTGAATTGAAGTTGTTGAATTTTTATAGTCTTTTCCCATTTATAGTCTTAAATAACTACTGTAGTGGAATTCATTGTATTTTTGTTCGTTTAAAAATTAGGGGTTATGTCAAGGTTATTTTAAAATTATATAAAAAGAGATTAGTGTATAAAAAGAGAGTAAAATATACGAATCAGTCGGTTCAGCAGATTATATGAAATATCATCATGAATTTGTTCATAAATACAGTGCAGACTCCCTTATCCGAACATTTATTTTTACAATATTTTGGTATTCAAATGTTTCATTATTTAGATATATTATTATTTAGATGCATTTATTATTTAGATAGATAGTAGAGAACTTGAATACAATTTTTAGATATTAAAATGTTTTGGTATCGATATATATTAAAAAAATAAATCTTCGAATAAAAGAGTCTCCATTGTGATACCCCGGCGATTTTTATTTACAATCTGAATTGTTCTTAAGAACAACAACGAAGAGTCAAACATTTGAAGCTCTTAGTTTGTACTTATCTTATATTATCTTCGAATAAAAGAGTCTCTACTGTGATACCGCGGCGATTTTTATTTACAATCTGAATTGTTCTTAAGAACAACAACGAAGAGTCAAACATTTGAAGCTCTTAGTTTGTACTTATCTTATATTATCTTCGAATAAAAGAGTCTCTACTGTGATACCGCGGCGATTTTTATTTACAATCTGAATTGTTCTTAAGAACAACAACGAAGAGTCAAACATTTGAAGCTCTTAGTTTGTACTTAAGAAAAAAAATAAACTAAAATTGTTTCTGCTTCTCGAACATCGGCACTCGCATGGCTAATGGCGACACGTTCGTCTTTTCGTCGAAGAAACGCAACATAACGCGCAGGTGTGTTCAAAAAGCACCGACTTTTCTTAGAAGTCTTCGACCTAAAGTCACATTCATAGTGTTTCAACTTTTATCGTGCGGAGTTTCCCCTTCAACACATGAGTGCAACAATTTACCAAATGAAAAATATAAATTGTAATTAGTATTTTCTTCTTAACTCCCGCGGAATTTGCAAGTGCAGATGAACTAATCCGTACCGACTTAGAAATGAACCATTGAATTTTATTACTAAGAAATACCTCTGGTTAAATACGGAGTACAGTAAATTCTCCCTAATCGACGCACAGATTGCGCACAAAAATGGACACTTTGGGAAGAGGAGATACGATTATTCGAACCTTGCATTTCGTTTTCATAATTGCTGATAATCGTCAACTATAAAAATGAGTATCGTATATATGTACAGCTGGAATAATCGTATCTCCTCGTCCCAAATTGTCCATTTTTGTTTACAAGCTGAAGGAAATTTTGATAGTTTCGTTTAAGATTGTCATGTAGAACAGGAATTTTAAGTCTCCTCTAGTTTATATAATTGCTGACAATCGGCAACTATAAAAACGAGCCGCGAGGCCCGAATAATTCTCAAATTGTCCATTTTTGTTTACAAGGTAAAGGAAATTTTGATAGTTTCGTTTAAAATTGTCATGTAGAATAGGAATTTTAAGTCTCCTCTAGTTTATATAATTGCTGACAATCGGCAACTATAAAAACGAGCCGCGAGGCCCGAATAATTCGCAAATTGTCCATTTTTGTTTACAAGCTGAAGGAAATTTGGATAGTTTCGTTTAAGATTGTCATGTAGAACAGGAATTTTAAGTCTCCTCTAGTTTATATAATTGTTGACAATCGGCAACTATAAAAACGAGCCGCGAGGCCCGAATAATTCTCAAATTGTCCATTTTTGTTTACAAGCTGAAGGAATATTGGGAAGAATTTACTGTACTGAGAATTGTTAGACGAACGTGCGACACACTGCATAGACAGTATCATTACTCATTGCCTAGTAGTTCACTTACACATACATGTATGTAGTGTACAGTAGAAAGCGTGGTACATATACTAGAAGCTCACAAATTTCTCTCTCGCTCTCTATCCACGCTTGTCAGTTTCAATGAGTTCATATATTTAGAACCGAGCATGATCTCGTTCAGATAAACGAACTACAAATAAACGTGTACCTTACCGTAAATACTTTGTCCATACTTCAAGTCAGTGTTGATCAGTCAGATATTTTAATTGGTCAGTTGAACAACTTCGGATGATTTTTCCTTTAAGAAAGCAGCATTAGCTCTGTGTCGTTTACTATACTTGGCTCATTGGTACTATTTTATGCAGATCTACGAAATTAGGAGCAGACCAGAGTTTGATTTGTGACATTAATTCTGCAAATATTACGATAAAAGAGTTTGTGTGTGATACTTGGCAGAAGAAATCATATTAATTCTGCAAAAATTAGAATGAAGGAATTTATCATAAAACTAATTTTTCCTGGTAAAAATAAATATTTTTAAACTGGAATATTGCAAATCGAGCGTCGTTCGACGAACCTAAAGAACGAAAAAAAGTGTTGCGAACGCAAATCAAATAATTTGACATATGCTTATCTGGCATATGCTAAATTAAATAACCTTGAAATATGTTTATCTGGCGTATACTAAATTATTATAAATAACTTGACATATGTGTATATCTGGCATATGCTAAATTAAATGATTAGACTAGAACTCTTAGATTCTTAGATTCGACGAACCTAAAGAATGAAAAAAAGTGTTGCGAACGCAAATCAAATAATTTGGCATATGCTTATCTGGCATATGCTAAATTAAATAACCTTGATATATGTATACCTGACATATGCTAAATTATTATAAATAATTTGACCTATGTGTTTATCTGGCATATGCTAAATTATTATAAATAATTCGACATGTTTATCTATATATTAAATTATATATATATTAAATTAAATGATTTAGTATACGTTCATTTGGAATATATGCTAAATTAAATGATTTAACACGCATTCATCTGGAATATATGCTAAATTAAATGCTTTCACATATGTTTATGTGATATATACGGAAAAATATTTGTCCTAAGTTTTTTTGACATACATAAAAAAAAAGATTCACGCATGTCTTGTCCAGCAGATGCCGAATGAAACGGTTCATTACATGTTTATTCGGCATACGTGCTAAGTCAAATGGTTTGGCATATGTTCGCTTGATATACGGCAGAAAAGTGGCCGATACACGTTTATTTGGCATATGCCGAAAAAAGTTTTGGCATATGTCCGGCGAAACCGCATAACCAGGGCGAGTCAGTGAGGACGTAGCTTAACGTTTCTGTTCACGCTGAAAGGGATTGACGACCCGCGAAACGTGCATGCACCGCTCAACGAACCTATACTGAATTCCCTGGCAGGCGTGCACACGTGTAAAACCGGCGCGTGTTTATATTTTTCGTGTTCTTTATTCAATGTGCGTCCAGCTTGCAGCCAAGGCGCGTTATAACGCGCGTCTGCCATTGGTCACGCAACAATGGCGGCCTGTTTAACTTTTCCGGTGGTGACCAAGAGCCCCAAAGTCTTTGTTCGAGCTACACGTGGCATGTGCGTGACCACCAATTTAAAAATAACTATTGAATGCTTTCGTTCAAGAAACTTCGAAGCTATTTTTCAAGCATCCTGGTTCTTTACAGATTCATTCGTCACCGTTTCACTGGTGTAACGATATACAGAATATCTTAGATAAAGGAGGATATACACCTAAGTATATCTGTTATTCTTTGAGGTATCGAAAAACGTCATTAACAAAAGCTTTTTTGCTCAGAGACATGTGTAACATCAACGTAATAATCTTTTCGCAGCTGGAGAATTTTCGAGGATTTCAAGACCATCTTCACTTTTTTTATTACAATTATATATTTTTTTGAACGTTAATGGGTGCAGTTCGACATTTTCTATAGAAAAGTATTAATTTTTGTGTGTCGAAAATTTATTAGGTTAGCAGATATTTTAACTTTAATTTCGTGGATTTTGCAGTGCCAAAAAGTGCATATTGTGTACATTAAGTAATCAGGAAATAACACTCAATATCTGCTAAACTAATCGTTTCTCGATGTATATAGCATATGTATTAATATAGCATATGTATATAAGTCGATACCTTTCTATAGAAAATGTCGAGCTGCATCAACTAATGTTCAAAAATATATATATGATCACAATTAAAAAAGTGAAGATTACCTCGAAATCTCCGAAAATTCTCGAGCTGCGAAAAAATTGTTACATTCATATTACATGTTATAATTTTTTTATTATTGGTCCGAGCGATTTAAACTTGTTTAGCATGTCAGAGGGATTAGTTTACTAGACAATGACTAATAAATTGCTTTCAAAAATTGCAATTAGGCTCAAATGAAGAAATTGAAAACGTACAAATTTAACAGCTCATAACAGCGTCACCCGGTTTCAATGAAATTATTCAGCATGCATGCAACTTACCGAGATCTACAACACGCATTTCTTAAATTGTTGTTATGGGCTCAGATAAAAAAATTTAAAAACATGAGTTTTCTATTTTTTCTTTCTCACTCGAAGTAATAGCAAAATTTAAAAAAAGGCATTACAATCATTGTCTAATAGACTAGTCCCGTTATCATTTAAAAAAAATTCTAGTCGTTTAGTCGAAGTTCTAAAAAAAAAAACGCGTTTTAAAGAGCGCCCACATGAGTTCGTCCGACACTCTATACAATTGATCATAAATATATTTGTACTCCCCTCAGTCGTTACATCGATCTTATTCGATTGTTGAGTTTTCAGCCCCAAAATTCTTTCGCCTCGAAATGCGTTTGTACGAATCTCGCCCGCTGCATG